AACTTATCATTTGTTTAATAGCTTATCATTGTTTTCTTATAGTCAGATATACCTAAATAGTAAAACTTTGCTAATAAACTTGGCCAAGTCCAGCATTAAAAAAAAAAAAAAAAGAATCTTCTTATTTATTTTAATATCTATAAATTTTTATTGATACTAAAATTGATTAAGATTATATGATATTATTTGTTAGACTATAGTTAAATAGTATAGTTCTTTAAATTAATTGTATATAAAGTATATATATGACTAATAAGTATATAACTTTAGTACAATATAATTTAAATTATTATTAGTTTTTAAGTAAATTAAATTAATATATTATGATTAATGAAATATTGTAAGTGTATACTTACTATACTATTGATTCACAGTTTCAAATATATTTATTATAATTAATTTTATTTTTCAATTATTAATTAAAAAAATATTTAAATTTAAATTTATAATTTTTTTGATATTTTTTATAATACAAATTGAATATGTATTGGTTTTTTTTAATACTTTTTAAAATATTTTAAACATAATTTATAAAATTTTAAGGCTAAATTTTAAATTAAAAATTTTGTTACTTTAATTTAATAAAAATTATTTTTTTGAGTTTTTTCAAATAATAAATTGAAATAATATTAAAATTTATATTTGTATTTAATAAAAAAAAAGGTTCATAAATTAATAAAAAAAGTCAATAAAAGAAAATTAATAATAAATTCAAATATTTTTTTAATTTTAAAATTAAAATAGAAATATATCTGATAATAAGTTTAATTTTTTGTTATTTTTTTAAAAAATAAAAAATTATTTATTATTAAAATTAAAATTAAGATTTATAATTTTATTTTACTATTAAATTAATTTTTTTTAATTCACAATTATATTATATGGCTTAATCTTTATTGAGAAATTGTATAACTATCTACAATATTATAGATTTTTCACATAATGACTAATTCATTATTATATCTAAGTACTCTAAGTCAAGTCTAAAAATGTTTCACTCTTAGAAGATTGATATATAACCTCTATCTATAAGATTTATAATCAACAGTTTGGCACTATAGATTGACCATAAACTATGAATTGCAAATTAAGGGAAAATGAGAAAAAAAAATTGGAAAAGGGAAACAATTCAAGGTCATCAAAAAAGTTCAAAAAGAAAGCAATCCTTCTTTCAAAAGGAATCTGCTTGATTGAGATAATCTTCTTGCTTCTTTTGAGTTACAGAAGAAATATTTTTTGTCACCACTTATAGTATTGGACAAGTAAATTCAACTGGTCTTTTATTTAAGTAAGCATCAAATTGAGATATCTCAAAAAAAATATTTAGATCTTAGCTTTTGTCTATTAAAGCTTTGTTACCACTTAAAGAACTTGAAGAAGAGATAAAAACTTGCAATTCACATTATTCATCTCTTAGTTTTTTTTTATATTATGGATATCTTTTTTAAGGGACTTGAGTTTTTGAAGGGTGAACATTTCCAGAATATTTTTTTTAATCATCAATAATATTATCAGAATATATGAGTATGATCAATAGAAACTTGTTTATATTTCAAAAACTAACATGTTTTGTGTAAGTCAAATCACCTTTAATAAGAATTTGTGTTATCTAAAATTTAGGGTTAAATTGAGATAAGAAAAATTCCCTAGAAAACCATGAAAGTAAAAACTTTAAAAGAATATAGATAGTCAAAAAGGAAGAAAATAAACTTTTTTATTGTAGAAAATCTCTATATACCTATCATTTTAAAGATTAAAAAGACCTTTAGGTACTTCACAGTCAGTACTTCTTTCTTTGGGAACTTTCTTGCCATTAGTATCAAAGATCTTACTTGATTTTTCTTGATTACTAGAAGCAAAGTTTTTAGTGAAAAAGTCTGTAAACAAGAAAGAAAGTGTAGAAGTGACTTTTGAAGTCATACTTCAAGTTGTTATAATGAAAGTATTAAGACTTTATTAGCAAAAAAGTAAAAAAACTTCTTGTGAACTTCTTTTTTGTATATAGTCAGAAGATTAATGAAAAGAGTTTGTTTATAATTTCATTCTATCTAAATTATAATTAATAATAAAATATTTATTTATATAATAGCAAAATTATACATTGTTTTAATATTATTAATAATTTATATAAATTCTATTATATTTTAAAAATTAGAAAAATTTAATTTTTAATATAATAGATAATTGTTAAACAATTGTAATTAAGTATTATATATAATAAATATAAAACTTTTTTGAGATAAAACAAAAATAAATAAATAAATAATAAGAACTATAAAAGTTTAATATTAAAAAAAAATTTTAAGACTTAAAGAATATATAAGATAAAATACAATTTTGTTTATTAATTATTTCAATAATTAATAATTGGATTTTAATTGATTTTTTTAAAAAAATTTTTTTATAATAATACTATATATCATTTAAACTTTAAACAAAGTCTTTTTTTTATTTTTTTTTATTTTTTTTTAAACCCGTGGTCAGGTCAGTACTGTATATTTTTTAATCATTAAGAAACCTGATTGAGATACATAGGGCAATTGCATCATGGCTATACTAAAATCTTGTATTGACACACTTGTCAATGGCTTTCAATTTTCAAAAGAGCTTCAGCCTCTAAGTGCAACCTTGGAAACAATATTTCACTCTGAACTAAGTTTTGGATAAAGATCCTCCTAACTTACCCATCATTGCTAGCAGATTGTCACTGCTTATTACCTTCCAAGAAACTGAATTTGTGAAACTACAAAAGAAGAAGGAAAAATAAAAAAATGTGTATATCTAAAAATGTACAACTGTGCTACATGAAAATAAAGAGAAAGAAAAAAAATAAAAGTGCATCATGTCCTCCAAAGGATCTCTGCTGGAAATCTCTTTTTATTAGGAGTCAATCCTTTTGGGATATCCTTCTTTTTCCTGACCATCTGAGAAACTTATCCATTTGTGATCTTGATTTATTTTCTTACAATCGTCTGAGGTACTTATCACCTACTCAAATCCAGTGTCTTGCTCAATGCTTCCTTTTTTTCAGCCTTGATTTTATATCCACTTGTGTAAAGGAAGACGGCTAACAGTGGACCCCAGGTTCTTATGTGACTTTTCAGTCTTGTTGGGTAACTGCCAATATCTTTCAGCAGCCACATCTAGTTAAAGGAATTTTATTGCCGTTCATCTTGATTGCGATATCATTATACAATATCTGGAAAAATGTATTCTCAATCCTAGAGAAGGGTAGTGTTTTACATTCCTCTGCTTTTCGGTCTTGCAACCTGATCAGGATAAGGAAATACTCTTTCAACTTCTATCATCATTGTCTATAGATCACTACTATAGATAAATAAGAATTTTTTATTAAATTTTATTAAATATTAATATTAATATTTATATTTATATTTATAATAATAAAAAGCAATCTAAATTATAAAATAAACAAATTGTTAGAAAATTTTAAATAATATTTTTGTCACCCTCAAAAATAACTATCCATATATAAAAAAATAGTTAAAAGTTAATTAAATAATTTAAAAATAATAGTTAAATAAAAATTTGATAAAATATTAATTAGTATAATACTATTTGAAATTATATATGCAATATATAAACAAAAATAAACCAATCTTCGATTGTTATTCAAAAAATTATTGATAAACTTTATCAAAAGATGAAAGAATCAAAAAATATAAATCAATATATTATAATAATTAAATAAAAAATTATTAAAAAACCATTTAATTATTAAGGAAAAAAATTCAATCTTTTTTTAAAAAAAAACGATCTCAAAAACTTGAGATAGCATAATACTAAAAGCATATTAGAAGTTAAAATATAAAAATTATGAAAGATTTCAAAAAATTGGAATTTTTAATTTTAAATTAGAACTTAAAATTTATAGTGAAAAACTATAAACAATATTCTTTATAATTAAAGAATAATTCAGACAATAAAGAAAGCAAAATGTCATTTTCTAAGCTGTACATAAAAATTAAACTTCAATGATAAATAAGTTATACTGTAAGTGAAAGTCACATATTTCTTATAAATGCAATAAATGTCATAACAAGATTATAGGTAAAAAAAATAAAGAAAACCAATTATCTATATACAATTGTCACTTTTTGAAGAATCAACATATCCTATTTCTGAAATAAAATAATAACCTTTATAATGCGTAACAGAGTTTCATTCGTCCAAGTATCATTCAAAAATTGCGAAGTAAACGCAACCCGATTAATTTTACTATAATAATTATTTTTGGTACATTTTTTGTGAATAAAATAAACATTTTTATTTGGTACTTGATAAACCATCAAGTAAAATATATGCATATTTGTTCTATAAGCACTTTAGATGCTTAATTTTATGTCATCATTTTTTTCTTTTATTTTTGTTTCCAATATTCCTTGATCCACTGTACGTCATTCTTTTCGTTTTGCCGATTTTCTCAACTTCCGACGCGGAGCCTAAGGCATCCGAAGCATTCAAGCTTTGGTCACCTTCCTCACCACTGAGAGACTCACTGCTATTATCATCATTTTTATAGCTATTTGAGGCATCAATCTTTCTCTTCAGATTTAGAGATGCGGATATTGGGTTTTCACTTTCTTCTGTTGTCGCACCGGATCCGTCTTTTTTCCAATTATCGACAATGTTTTGGATCCTTTTACTTTTATGCGATTTGCCGTACTTACTTTCCGTGGGTTCAAAAAATTTATCAATGGAAGATTGTATTAAATTATTCTTCTCGGACTTATGGAAAATGTATGGGGAAATTGATTGGTCACAATAAGCTCCAAGTATATGATAAATTCGATGTATCCAAAAAAAAAGTTCACCTGTCGTTCCATATTTATTTTTATGACTGGTAAAAGGGTCTGGTCAATTTTATCTTCAGGCCATAATAATTTGTCCATCAAAAAACTAATAACCATTTATGAGGTATCGTTAAAGTTGAAAAGGTCATGTTTTAGAAAGTTAAATATAATTAAATCTCAACTCTTTAAGTTCTTCCATGTCAGGAACACCCCATTGAAATGGAACCTTCGATTCATCAACCTGTGGATTGAGATATATATCTCTAATGTGCCGATTCGGAAAATTTTTTGACAGAAATAGACCATTCATCCTTCGCCTCTGGAAACAAGACCAAACCAAATAAGAGGCGAATTCAAAAAACGTATAGTCGACTTAAATCAAATTTATCTCACAAATTTTTTTTTGAATTCACTCTCGGCATCGTCTGTTGTGTGTGTTCCGCTTTGAACATCGAACCACCAATCTCTGAATTTCTCCAATCCATCTTCATCAGGAAATTCGTTAAAAATCTCCATGGCATTAACGACACCCACCCCAGGTAAACCCTCGGAATAATCACTACCAAGTAATATTGCAAGTCGGATAAGTTTCTCGCGGTCCAATTTCAATTCACACTCAAAATCCTCTGCAAGATAGCATTCAACAAATTTTTGTCTGTCAAAAAAGTTTTTGTATACTCGTGTTCCTCCGAACAAAAACACGTCACTATCATCGGTGATAATGCCATCCACCAATCCCTGTCGCAACAATTCGGCACATTGGGCCTCAGCCTCCATTGGTGCGTTTACGAATGGAATTCCGAATAATTCTAAAAGTTTTTGGCAATCGTTAACCATCAATTGGGTAATACCATCGGCATCTCGTTTTTCCTTCCTTTGTTGTTCGTTCAATTGATCAATCTCTTCATTTAACTCTTTTTGTATTGAATTAATATCTTTCTGCTGCAACTCGGATAAAAATCGTGCAAACTCCGAATTCTCCTCTTCCATTTGCCTATCTATCTCTCCATCAGAACTGTCGGCAACTTCGTAAATATCATCTTCATTCAAAATATCTTCTTGATGCATACTATCCTTTTCAATATTCGAAAATTTGTTTGAAGATGAATCATCTTCAACGTCAACTGGAAAAGAAAGTTCTTTTGAAGACGGTGATTCCTCAATGGTTTTCGGATCCATCGAATATTCGTTATTCGACGGTTCTTCCCGAACCAAAGATTCAGACTCTACACTGATACCAACATCAGGTTCTTCGATTTCGAGTTTAGAATTTTCAGTTTGAAAAAATGGGCTGTCTAAAGTTAAGGATTCGACGGATGATGATGGATTAGAATTTTCATCTCTAAAATTCAAGCCACGAAACGATTCGGCAACTTGCGAG